TCCGCAGATGGGTAGGCAGCAGTTTCCACATGCACCTTGCTGCCGTCAGGAGGCATTGCTTGCAGGTCGAGCAGGCCCGTTGCTTTCAAAGCTACCTTATTTCATAGTGTATAAGTCGAGAGTTGAAGACCAATTTCTACTCTTAAAATTCAACCTTGACTTACACACCTTGTCCCCGGCGAGCGGTGCCGGACTCGGTGCTCGGCTGGCATGGCCCAGGCGGTGCCGCTCGCAGGGGTGGGGATGCGCCAGCCGAGCGCCAAGCCCAGCCCCGCCAGCTCGCAGGGACTGGGGCTCGGGCCGGGGCCAGGCTCAGTGCTCGGCTGGCGCATCCCCATCTCCTGCGAGCAGCACTGCCTTGGCTGCACCAGCCATGTGCCAAGCCTGCCCGCTCTTCTGCGAGAGGCACTGCCAAGCCCTGAGCCTGGCACCGCTCACGGGAGACGGGGCTGGGCTCAGCTGGCGCAGCCCAGGCAGCACCCGTCGCAGGGGTGGAGTTGCGCCAGCCAAGCATCGAGCCTGGCCCTGACTCGCACGCTGTGCCTATGAAAATCCTAACTTTTTACACTGGACAATCAGGGTCAACTATACACTGTATTGACTTATACACTGTGAAACATGGTTTCCTTAAGTGTATACAGCTAAGAGTCTGTCAAATGCAGACGGGGGTGGGGGGCTCTGTTTGCTCCTGCTGCTCTTACCAAGGTAGTGGGGTTGTAGCCATTACCCACCCTCGGGAGACCGCGCTAGAGGAGAATAGCTGTCACTCGCCGTCAGAGCTGCATCCGAAGTCTGCCAGCAGAGACACCTGGGTGACGTCAGCACAAGTCAGGCTGCTTTTAGTTGTTAGAACAAGGCAAATATTTGGAAAAGAAGAAAAACCGGCTTCTCTAAAGTGCCGCGTTCCCTCCAGATCCACATTCCTGGCCCCTTGTCCTTTGTCAGATGTCATTTAATTAGCCAACTCATAGCATGATTAGCTCGTGATTACCAAGAGGTAAAAAACATTCGGCCCGCAGCTCTTCTGTAAACGCTAGGACCTCGCAAGTGCCAAAGCATCGGGACTGCTCCAGTCTGGTGTGCTCTTGCATTAGGGATCTCACGGAGTTGTCCAAGTCTTGTTGTGTACATCGTATTGACCTCAGTCCTTAACTACTATCACTTTTTGAAAGTCTCATATTTTAAGACTGACCTGTTGCTGCTTCTCATTTTACCTGACCTTCTGCTCCCTCTAGCAGAGTCTGATAAGGTCATTCCTTTAATACCCCAGTGTCTGGACCCATAGACCACACTTGCCAACAAAGAAGCAAGAGTTGTTGCTGGACGTTGTATGCTCAAGTCATCCATCCTCTTCAAAGGTGGGTGAACAAGGATAAAGATATGGGCACCATTTTTGTCATATCTTTATCTTTGTGCACTTTGGCATTTTTGTTGATTCGGGAGCTCTGGGCCGTCAGAGATGGCAAAGGGATCACTGTGTGGACATGTCTCTCGTCGATCCCCGTGGGTTCACTCGACTGCTCAGGAGAAAGCCCTGCATGAAAGGGACCTTGTTTTGTTGATGGTGTGTGTTATATACGGCCTGTGAGGTGCATGAGCCTGTGTCCGGCTGCAAAACGTCTTCACCACCACAAGTGTCATTTTAGTCTCTTCTTGCCATTTGACCTCAGAGTCAATAGCCATCCATAAGGAAACTTCCTCTCGTGTAGTAACTCTGCTGGGGTGTGCCACCATGGGTGAACTGGATGTTAGGGTCCGTTCCCCTACCTTGGGCATCCACTAGGTCCGTACCTAATCCCATGGGGGTTCCCCACGCATATCCAGGTGTAGACTTGGCCCAGTGGATGAAAGATGACACATAAAATTAACCAAGGCCTGAGCGTGTTGAAATGAGTTAGAGTTTTGACAGTGGAGGGAAGGCCAGAGGGAATCCAGGGCCAGTGACTTCTTTTGGTCACCTGAGATGCAGCGTGGTAACATTTTGACTTCAGACACCATGTAGGTGTAATGACAGAGGAGTGTCTTGGTAAATCAGACTTGGTTGGCAGAAACTGTAAGGTACCCTATTCCCTGCAGCAGCTTTTCAATTGAACTAGTGTGCATGCGCATGTAGTAAGGAAGCAAAGGAGTGACACATTTGCAAAGCCCCCAATTTAGGGAAGCCCGTAAGTGCAGATTTGGACCCCGGTGACATCAAAGAGACCTTAGCAAATGATTCAAGTTGAACATACGGTTCATGCACGGTTTGCAGAAACAAAGCGGAAATGTAGATATTGTTTGCTTGATGTCATCTCACAAGACTTGGGATCTCATTTAAAGCCCAGCATTCCCAGATCAGGGAGCCAGGCAACGCCTGAGTGGCTGCTGTCTGGGCTCCTAAAATGCCTTAAGTAGTTTGTCCTTCCTTGGGGTAAGTAATTTCATGAAGAAATGACCCAAGAGAAATAACCAGCTGCTGTGCAGATATATTAGACCAGCTACCCAGAGACTGATGGACAATTTCTGTTGAGAAAATTGGAGGCCTAAGTACAATACAACTCGTTTCTATACCAATTAATTTGGCACTTCCTAGCATTGTAAATGCTGCTGTCCCACAGTTCTAGTCAACATGAATAATTACTGACCTGTAAAATATCAGAATGAATAAGGATAGCCTTGAATGATATGAATGCCAAAGAAAATCAAGCCATGTCGTGATAAATTTCCCACAACTCCAAAGTACCAAAATTGGGGTTTTTTCCTTAAATGGTAACCAAAAGTAAATGGTCGCTGTTAGAAATTTCTAGAAGTTTTAGCCCAAAAATGCTTCTTTCTCAAATTTATAGTGCTAAAACAGATGCATCCCGTGTAGCCATTTGTACTTGTTGCTCATTGTGTAGAGAAGGATAGCACTGAATATATTGCTTGAGTGAACAGTAGTAGTCTTTTATGAAAGTTTTTTCTAACTCATGAAATGGTTCCTAAAACTGCAATTTTGTACGGATGTAAAGGTTATATATACAAGACTTGCAGGAAAAGGGCCTGGGTACGTTTAGTTCACTTTGGTTCAGTTGTTAGTGTATATTAGTTGTTGACTCATTCGTGTAAATGGGAATTTATACACGTGCTGTGGGAGTGGGAGGGGGGCACTTTTAATTAGAGCGGCTCTGAGAGCTGCTCTAATTAAAGCATCCGGAGCATCTTGTATATCAGCATCCCGCCTGCCTCCAATTGGCAGTGGGGACGCTTTGTCTAACGCTCATCAAATGAGCATTAGCTAACGCGTCCCAGCTACCATTTTGAAGCACGAGGATGCTGCTGGAGCGCGGTAATGGCCACGCTCTTGTAGACTCGATTGATCGAGTCTGCTCTGACGCACTGGAATTGCACATGTTGAACCATCCTCTCTGCTCGTGTATAGGCACCCAAGGAGTCTAGAGCCTGGCTGTGGGTGTATATAAAATCTTGCCATTTTTCCAGTAAGGAGTGTACCCACAAGCCAGTAACATTCCCCGCTGTTTGCCCACTGCATTACTTGCTCTTTGTGTTCATTCATTTATGAATGAAGCATTCAGACTCCTCACAAAGCAAGACCTTGAGTGGAGAGGCTCCAGCTCGTTATAGTTTTTTTTTATATCAGATTTACATGCTTATGGATGGTGTTGAGTTAATGATAAGATATACCTGAGCCTTCTCCTGATCCTTTTGCATTGGCTACAGTGAGCTTGATTCTGCTGCAGGGAAAGAAGACGTCTAAAACAGGAGTGTCAAAAAAAAGGAGAAAAAATGAATTTCTTATAAAGGAAACTTCGCTAAAGATTTCATAGATGTTAGGGCTGGAAGGGACCTCGCGCGATCATCGGGTCCAACCCCTGCCGCAGGGGCAGGAAGTCAGCCGGGGTCAGATCACCCCAGGGAGGTAAACATCCAAGCGTTTCTTAAAGGTATCCAGAGATATTTTATGAGCTTCTGGTTTCATTGACATCAGTTCCTTGGTACCAATGCCTTTGATTTCCCTTGTAATAAATGTTGATATTTGTCCCTTCCTTTCTCGGTGTCCAAAAGCATACAGCGTCCCCCTCTGCTAGTACACAAAATCTCTGTTGCATGTATTTTGTGTGTAAAACTGGAGAGGCAAGGATCTTTTCGGGTAGTATCTCTTGTTAGATCAACTGCACGGTTGGGATAGATAATTTCGGCATCATCATAGCTACTGAACTTGTCCCATCCTTGGGTGCCTTGCTGGAGACCATGAGCAACCACCCAATTCTGGGCCAGGTTTTTGGAACTGATGCCCATGTCTGAGAAGGGCTTAGGTCCAGCCCTGTCTCAAGGAGACATCTAGGCAGCTGTCAAGAACAGCGAGCAGGATCAGCCATTGTACCAAACCACCAAGAAAAGTTGGTGGATTCTTTATTTCTTTCTGTCTTCAAATCAAGACTCGGAGGCCTTTAGCCAAATGCAAGTTCTTGGGCCCAGCAGAAGGGTAACTGGATGAAAGATGGCAAAGAGGACGGTCCAGGGCTCAGCGTGCTAGCTCGGGACCCAGGAAACCAAGATTGCATTGTGACAGCACGCCACAAACTCACGGTCTAACCCAAGCAGGAAAACAGAAGCAGTGACACTGCCCTGCCTCATAGGGGTCTTGTGAGGATAAGTACATAAATTGCTGTGAGTCATTCAGACAGCATGATGAGAAGGGACCTCTGAATGTTACCTAGGTTGACTGGGTGGAAATATATGGTCAATGTCATGTAGGAGGTCAAATGAGATGTTCAGGGCATGAATCAATGGTGTTGATCTTTGTCGCCTGTGGCCTGTTTGCGATAGACGCCTAGTGAAGGCAAATGTGACCCGTTCCCTGAGCTACACACGCTCAGAAATGCCCTTCTCGTGACAGAGATGAAATATGGAGCAGCGTCAGCCAGTCCCCATGCCAGCCTTCATGGTGCACGAGTGGGTTTGTAATGTGTGTGAAGCGTGAACCTATCAATATTTTGCTTTTTTTCTCTTTCTTCCAGGTTGTTCGAGCTGCAGAGGAAGCCGCCTCCACCCTGGCCAGTTCCATCCACCCGGAGCAGTGCATCAAAGTGCTGTGTCCCATCATTCAAACTGCCGACTACCCGATTAATTTAGCTGCCATCAAAATGCAGACGAAAGTCATTGAGAGGATCTCGAAGGAGTCCTTACATCAGCTCCTTCCTGATATCATTCCGGGATTGTTACAGGTACAGGGCAGAGACACCAGGCACTGCCGTCTCGAGGGCAACGGGTGCAGTGACAGCTGGGCAGGAGCCCACAGGATGCCAGTTGGACAGCCCTGGCCTATTTCCATCCCCTCTATATGACCCTTTAGGTTCAGAGAGGTGAGCTTTCATAGCCAACTTTGTCAGATGCCATGAATGGACTTGCAGAGAGCAGGAGTAGTAAATAGAAGGAATACGGTCATTTAAATACAAAGGACAGGAAAAGAAGGGTGCACCCTCGGGTTGACTGCTTTGTCGACCGCCTTTGATCTCTTCAACTCGCCTTTGCCCGTCTCAGCAGTGGTTTCTGTTAAGTGCCCCTGATATCTGCCAGTCCACTTGAAGCATCTGACACAGCCTACCAAAGCTCACGTCTCTCTGAACAAGTTAGTCTAAAGGTACCACCCTGCCCTGCCGTCTACCTAACCACAAGCTAACATGGAGAACCGCCTGGTTTTTACCTCTGACGTTTTCTTAGCCCATTCATCTAGGGAAGAGGAAATCAAAATCTCGGGTTTGAGTTTTACAGGTGGAAACGCACATGTGACTTCCAGTGCAGTTAATAGCGGGCATCAGTAGACGTACCTGAAGGCAGGTTTAGCCAGCGTGTCGCACAGGTTGTATAGAGGAAGGAGAATTGCAGCATTGTTTATTATTATTCTAAAATCTTTTAATGCCAATTTTTGTGTGCCTGGCTCGTGGTTTACATGGGCAGTCGACACGATGGCTGAAGATATAAATCATCTTGCCTTGGAAAGCTATGCTGAGTATGTCAATCCATTTCGGATATTGATAATAACCCTCTGGGATCCTCCTGGGAGAAAGATGATCTGTCAACAGGAGATGGCTGTTGCCTTTCATTCTTTAGATAAGTGCTCCAGTGCCTTAAAATCAGTGCAGAGTATTAGTAATCATATAATGCAGTCAAATGCATTTGAAGAGCTGAGTAGCAAGGAGTGTGGTTCCTTCCCAGCCAAAAAAGCAAAATTTGAGAGTTGCCAGATGCAGGTCTTTTGGAACAGGGCTATCCCTCAAAGGCAGAGCCCTCTGCTAGAGGCTCGAGGTTAGTGCTGTGGTGTTATACGAGGAGGTTCGCAGGCAAGTGAATTCCAGGTGGTTTAGTCAAAGCAGCTCTGGTGCTGCCCATGCTACCGAGGCAGGTCTGGCCCTCTGCAGGGGTTGTGCCCCTCTGCACAGCCCCTTCTGGTAGGGGCCAGTGATCTGCCCTGAGCCACTCTGCAGCACGCCTCTGGGAAACGCCACTAGTGATGGGCAAGGTCCTTTGAGTAGACGTGATATCTTTTATTAGACCAACCGAGTAGTTGGAAAAAAGTTCTTTCCCAGCTGTTGAGCGCAGTCACCCTTCTTCAGGCACAGGGAGACTCTAGACTGAAGAAGGATGATTGCTCCCGAAAGCTTGCAAAGAACTTTTTTCCAACTACTCAGTTGGTCTAATAAAAGATAAGGCAACTACCCAAAGAGACTCAGTTGGTCTAATAAATGATATTGCATCTACTCAAAGAGCCTTGCCTGCCTGTGTCCTTAGACCAACACGACTACAACCAGACACCCAGCTCTAGTGACAGGGAGTCTTTAGGCACTTCCTCTCCCCCCAGCCTTGTGCGCACCTGCTGGGGCAGCCAGGCAGAGGCCTCTCAATCCTAGAAAAGGTTGGCTTGGGTAGTCATCCCATGACAGCTGCACCAGGCTGTACGTGCAGCTGAGATGGGCAAAGAAGCACTCCTGTGGCACAGCCTGTACCACTTTCCCGGCATGGCCAAGGATTGTTAGCATCAGTCGAGTGGGAGCGGGATTATGCTTTTATGACCAGAAGCTAGTAGCTCTCTCCCCTGAAAGAAACTGAGCTGTAATTCCCTGGTGGAGCCCTGGACTGGGTTGTCTGTATAAATACTGGCCTGGCAGCTGCTGAAACGCTAACGGGGAACTCGGAAAGCCTCGAGCAGCCGTATGAAAGGACTGTGTCCTCCCCAAAGATCCTATCAGCCTCTCTCCCAGCAGAGCTCACCCTGAGCCCCGAGGAGTAGCATGCAGCATGCCAAAGCGGCTGTCTGGGCTGCTTGAAAATAAATGATGGCATGGGTGCCGAACTGCAACAGTGGCTTGAGCTGACCTAAAGTCTGCTCTGAGGTCTCTCCTGGCATGGTGGAGATGCGAGGTGCCAGCTCTACGGTAATCTGCTTTCCTAAAATAGTTTCTGCTGCACCTTGTACCTTCTGGTGTAGGTATTGAGTATCGTAACTCAGGTCATTTCAATACCCAGACCTGGCAGAGCAGCATCACGCACAGCCGAATGGTGTTTCTTTTTTTGATTTCAAAATAGCCATCACGTGCAGAAACTCATCCTGTTGAGAGACCTCGCAATCCTCCATTGCAATAACAGCACATGGCACTTCTGCAGTGCCTAGGTGCCACGGTGAGGAGCCTACTTCAAGGGCCCTGACATTCAGCACCAGGCTGCCATCTGATACTGATGGCACGAGGCAGGCTCAACAGCCTTGTGCAAGGGGAGCGTTCGCCAGCCCGTTATGAAACGTAGTTGGAAAGATCCCGGAAAGCGACCACTGATATACGTATCCTTTCTTTTCTCCCCTTCTAGGGTTACGATAACACAGAGAGCAGCGTTCGTAAAGCAAGCGTGTTCTGCCTAGTGGCGATTTACTCGGTAATCGGAGAAGAGCTGAAACCCCACCTTGCCCAGCTCACAGGAAGCAAGGTACACGCGCAGCACGCAGACCTGTGACGCGGTCTCACCAAGGGTAGCTGAGCAGTACATGCCCCCAGTCACGTAGCCTCGCCTTCACGCCAGTGCTAACGCAAGGGACCCAAATTCCAGTGCCCTTTGTTTAAAAACCATAATGCTGTTTTCTGAAACTGGATGACATTAGATGAACCGCCCCGAGGAACCTGAGGAAGGACACTGGGTGCCTGAAAACGTGTCTCCCAAGCATACAGTTGGTCCAATAAAAGATACCACACACAACCATCACCTCTCAGACGTTCCTGGACTGCTGCTGCTGCAGCACTTCAACCCCCTAATATTAGGTTAGGAAGAGATGTTGTATTTATCCCTGGATAAATTGCATCTGCATTTCGTCCTGGAAGAAAAATATTCCAGGATTGTCATGTGTACACACTGCCTTACTGTTCAGTGTGTGACTGAATATTGTGCTGCTGTTCTGCCATTGATTCGATGCTGCAATCCTGGGATAACTGTTCAGACGTACTTTTGCAATATCCCAGGTTGAACTATTAGTTATTGGTACCTAGCATGCTTTTTTTTTTTTAGGATTTATCCCAGGAGAACACCTGTGCAATTATACTTTGTCCTGGGATAAAATGGTTTATCCTGAGATGTCTGTTTGCAGCCTTAGATTAACTGACTTTTCAAGTTATCTAAACAGTCCAGGTAATGTCAATGCATCACAGAGTCACAAAACTGCGGTTTCTCCAAATTTTTAGAACAGATTCAGCATTGCTGCTTCTGAAATGGCTCTGTGCATATTGTTAGGTCTTGGGTTCCAGACACAAGCCTGCTCTTTGGAAATGGAGTAGATGTTCATAGCTAGGAAGCCTGGTCTATGTCTAGGTGTGCACTGAGAGCCAGAAAACTTGCGTTCGGTTCCTGGTTTACCAAGTTATTTTGCCTTTAAACAAGTTACTTGTTTCTCAGTTCCCCTCCCTATAAAAATGGGAAAATCTTGTACCAGTTTAGCTCGACATCCTGCAAACACTCAACACACTTTAAGATCCGTGAGTGGAAAGTGCTGCAGTCATTTTATTATGAACCTGGGTTGTGAAAAGATTTACTCACATGCTTCATTTAAAGCTCGCATGGCAGCCTGCCGAACTCCATGGGCCGACCTGTGTGTTCATAGCTTTGCACATGGATGCGTCTGTGTAGGGTCTGGGGCTAAGCTGGTCCGGTATCTGGATACTACTAATCCAGGCAAATGAAGCAAGCTGCCACTAATGCCATGATTTCACTAGCTCTTAAGAATTTTGATGAGATTTTCATTTGTTTTAAAATCCCAAGAACTTGAATGAGTACTGACCTTGATCATGGGCTGGCTCACAGCTTCCCGGACTGCAGCGGCTTCAGAGGTTTTCCTAACCGAGGCCACAGCCTGAGGCCAGGGAGCAGATCCCCGTCTCTCTGCACAGTCCCTGGGCTCCTGCCTGCATAGATCAGACTGCAGGGTCGATGTCGTGCCTGGGAACATGCAAAAAATGCAACCCAAATTAATTTGAAAATCCAGAGATGCAATACCCCTGTTCCCCTCTCTTAAATGGGAGTTTTGTCCTTCCCCTCAATGGAAACCGGCTTCCCCCCCAGATGTTTTTTCTGCTCGTCGGCATTCTCAGCTATTGTTTTGATAATAGCATTTCTGGTTATGCCAACTAGTGGATTTTCACTCTAATTACAAAGAACCCTGAATGGGATCCTTGCTACCCCACAAAGCACAGTGTAGGGGGTTGAATTTGGGGATCTCACACCCATTGCCTATAAACCTTGTGCACTCTTCCTTTGCCAGCCTGTTTGATCTCCAGATAACCCCCTTCACCTTCTCTTTCAGATGAAGCTACTAAACTTGTACATAAAGAGGGCCCAGACCACCAATAGCAACAGCAGCTCATCGTCAGATGTTTCAACGCACAGTTAATGGAGATATCTGGACATATGTGTAGACTTAGAAGCAATCAGCGGTGCCTCACAGAGACCTTTCTGCTCCCCTCACTTCATTGGCACACTCCATCGGCTGACGGGGGCCGTGCAGATATTTATTGCAATCAGTATTTTAGTCCTTTAAAGCTTTTATGTAGAATCTTATTCGTATTGAATGTAAAGGAAGCAAGGCCTGTGTTGCAGTCTTCATCTAAAGAAACGAAACAACCGAAAGCCATACTTAAACATACTTGTACAGCCTGCTGGAACCTTTGAGATATGTTTAAGTGAAGTGTTTCCAAACAGAGTCCAACATAATGTGTAGGTGCTGAAAAGTTGAACGAATCCTTGTTTGCTCTGTTTTAGTTTGATACCAAGTTTGGGGTTTTAATGTGCTCCTTTCCTGCTGTGGGAACGACCCTTTCCTTCTGGACGTAACCGTTTGGGACGGCTGTGCCACCTCCCGCACGTTCTGCGATGGGTTCCCGTTTTTATACTCCCTTCCTTGAAACGCAAGAGCTGGACCATGCAGTCTTTACAGATATCACTGTGGTTCCAGCCGTCAGTGCTTTAATAGCGAGAGATCCCTCATGAGTAGCAATTGGGGGGGGGGGGAAGAAAAGGAGATTCTTTTTAAACATCCAAGTTTTATATAGCATGTGCCAGATTTCCACAGGGGCTGAGAAGAACTGATTTCTTCGGGGCTTTTCTCCACCCACCATATCATCAAGCAGAGAGCAGCTTGGTTCTCACTACCTTAATTAACCGTGTTTACATGATCCCTGCCTTCAAGCTGCTTCACCTCAAGGGACAAGGAAGGGTCGTTTTAAGTCCTAACAAGAAGCCTGAGGTAGAGCTCTGGGACTGGAGCCTGAAGTCCACATCCCACTCCTGCCACAGTCCCATTGGCACAATGGGCCTCAGACTGAGATTTGGGAGCATTCGCCCAAGGAAGCGGGGTGGGTTCGTTTTCAGGACTGGGCAACGCCATCTCAGTCATGTCTGCCCAAGAGACTGGCTGAGAAATCCTTATTTTGGTCTCAGCCTGTTTTCTGGAAGAACCGAGAGGCACCTCCAGGGCTCAGATAACACGTAGCCCCGATGATCCCAGCTGCCTGTCCCCCACAGTACGTCCAGGCATCCGCTTCACCTCCAGAAATGCATTGGGAAGTCTTAATGGGGCAAAGTCATCCTGTAAATCTAGACCCCCAGGTGCAGGGCTTGGCCCCAGCGTTTAAAAGGACGATGCCTCCGTCTCCTGCCATACCTGTCATCTGGTGCCCCCAAAGCCCCAGTCCATGCCGGTTAAGGGTGTCACAGGGTGAATCCCTTAAAGATCCAGTTAGCAAGGGGGAAAGTCAGAGCCTGACCAGCAGCAGCATGGTACGCTCTCGGGATGGTCTTGACGTAGGCACACCCTTACTGTCTGCAGGGAGATGGGGGGGAGACTTCTCCCACCCTAGGCTCTTCACCTTCCCCACCCCGGTCCAGGATGGGGTTCGTGTAGATGCATGCCGTTCCCCAGAGTGGAAGTTTAATGGCACGTTGGATCAGTCTGACGTCTGCCTCCTTCCATCATCCTGATGGAAGACCTCGGCCTGTGCAGCGCTAATGGTGTCATGGCCATCAGTAGGTGTCATGGCCTCTCAGGACCTCGTCAGATTGGGCCCCAAAGTGGTTTTCAGCCTCTTTTGCCCCCCCTGCCTGACGGAGTGGGAGGGCTGATCTGGCTTCAAGTTTATCAAGATGGGCTCAGTCATTCAGTGGCTGCAGAACCGGTCCCCTTTGCGGCTGCTTTTCCCTACAAGCAACCACGTCGCGAGAGGTGTGCGTTCCCGGGCATTTCCCCAAAGACTTGCTGCAACTCGTGAAGACATCCCCCGTTAGGGATGCTGTTCTAACCCTGAGCGGCCAGTAAAATCCAGTCTCTTCCCCTTGCAGGGACCAGTCCCGTTCACTTGCTTTCAGGACATTCGCTGCAGTTCTTCTTTTGTTTTCTCTTTTTAATTTTTTTTGGTGATGATTTGAATCATTTTAGTTCAATGCAAATTTATTTTCCTTTTTGAGGAAATATTCAGCAAGCCTGCTGGCAGCCCTTGGCTGCACTGCTTAATTTTTTTAGCATATTTTGTTTTAAACGGATTCCCTCGTGGTTCCTATTTTAAGTCTCGTGTCCTATCTCAGCTCGGCGTCTTCAAAGGCTGAAGGTGGTGGTGTTGACCACGTTATGCGTGTAGTCCTTTCTGGCTGTATGACAAACCGCATTCAGCGGCTATTTTGCTTCTTTTTTTTCTTTTTTCACTGATGGCTTGTCTGAATGGCACACGACAGCAGCTCTTTGAGAATCGAATCCCTTCTGAAACCATTTTATACGTTTTATAAAATACTGTTAGGATGCACTGTGAGTGAATGCACTGTAACCTCCCTGATCTGACCTAGCGTGTATGCTGCCATTACAGCTTGTCTCTTAGAAATACGTGCGAAACATGCTGCTGTTGCTGCTGCTTCGGGACTTCAGTGCCGAGCATCTATTTCCAGCCGCGATTGGCATACTTGGGGCTGCAAATCCCAGAACCAGGCCTTCCTTTCTTGATCAGATTCTGTTTTGTTCGTCAACGGATGCTCGTGAATGTGCTCATTAAGTCAATCAAGGACTGTCCATCCTTTGAGTACTATCGGAGTACGTCCCACCTGTATACAGTAGGAGGCATTCTGCTTAGGTATTTATAAACCGTTTGCGTATAATGTACATAGTAAGGTTGGTTTCCCTCCTGTTTCGTATTTTGGCTCTGACCTGATTTTTTCCTTTGAAGTACTCAAAGGGCTAGTTCTCAGTGTCACCTCTCCAGTCTCCAGCCTTCTGATTTCCAAAAGCCGTACAATCGTTTCCCGCCCCCCCACCCCTTCTTCTCCTCTATTTAGCAGGCATGAAGGTGTCTGTGGCTACACACCCGACCAGGGCCGTGAGCGCTCGCGGAGAAGGAGCTGCATGTTGCCCGCGCGGCGCCCCGAGGGCGGCGCGCCCCTTCACACCCTCCCAGCAGTAAGCACCTACTGCAGCTGCCTTTCTCTCGCTGCCCGTGCCGCAGGGCTTCGGTTTTTTGTATCTCTGAACAGACATCTCTTTTCTTTGCCCGCCATGCTTCAGAAAGTCTGACTCAGAGCCCCTCTGACCGGACCCGCACCCCCTGGCTGTGCCGTTGCCTCTACCTCGGCCAAGGATCTCCATTCTGTCGTTGGCTGCACCAGTGCTCCTTGGGCATGGGCAAATAAATGGATCCACCCCCCTCACAGTTTGAAGTACTGTAGTTCCCTCCTGTAGTGCAGAATTATTGAGGCATGTGGCTTTTTTAAGGTACACTATGTGTGCTTGCCTGGATTACAATACAATACAAGACTGTCTTTTCTATTGCTTATTACTAGCTTACCAATAACCTGTATAAGTAATGTAACTTGCATCTTTGTCATCGAAATCTTTTTCTCCCTACCCCTTTATTTATCAAGCATACTATTGCATCTTAAGGGACAGGACATAAAACTTTGTAGAATACAGCAGGACTTTGCTAACAATAATGTTTTCAATGGGAAGTCAAAACTGCTCTGAAAATGGCCAGCCAAGACCTGGTTTTGTTGGCACAGTGTTCGTTGCGCATGTATTTTTTTTTTTCCTTTTTTTTTTTTTGGCTTTTGTCATGTTACATCCATATCTGTATTTATATCTTATTTGTTTCACTTTTGAGTGTATCATGGCAAATGTACAGATGGTTTTTTTGTTAACATTTACGTGATAGAATTTGCTAAAAAAAAAAAAAAAAAAAAATTAAAAAAAAA